TTGAAACCACTTTATGTTGCAGAGCAAATTCTGCTTAAGTGATTTCTTGATTCTGGTGAAACTGAAGGAAATATGAGACTAATGTTGACAAAGGATTTCTTGTTACAACAATGGTTGAAGTTCATTCATCACTTTTCGAAAGGTTGAATAATAATAAATAAAGTCATTTTGGAAAAAGCTTTTTTTGTGTTTATTTTGGTTATCTTTGATATTGAAAGTTGTTCTCCTGATGTATTTACGTTTGACAAAAAAAAAAAATAATTAAGAAGGACTCAGAGTTCCAATATGTGACTGACTTTGGATCAACCAATTACAACTAGAGACAGCGAAATGAGTTTGGGCTTTAAAAATATGTTACAACAACTTCTCTTTCATCTGTTAGGTATGGAAGCCCGTTTCTGTGACATGAAAATAAAAACATGCCAAATAGAAAGTCATAATTATGAGACATTCAACTTTCAAACTTTGTATCTTGTAATTATGACTTTGAAAGTCGAAATTATGACTACAAATTTCATAATTATGACTTAATTATTTGAGATTATTTTATTTTAATGTAGCAGAAATTGGCTTCCATAAAACAGGCAATTTAGCCAGTTTCTTACGGTAATTTTTTTATTTCATTTTTTTTTTTTTTACATTTAACCTACAGTATAAAAGGCCATGAAGATAGACAAATCCACCTTGACCTAATTTTTTCACCAATTCCCTAAACATTCAGACCTATAGGTAAAAGCTGGTGAAGGAACTTGAGAATACAAAAAACACATACAGATGATTAAGAAATAAATTCTCGGGCAACTTTATGAAGCTCAGTTCCGTGTCAACAGAAATTACAAGCCAGCCAATCACATTGGAGCAACTAAATACATCAAGGAATCTGCAAATGTTGAAGATATCTTGGTAAAGTTCAAAATTAGGCCCCAAGAGTCTAAGACGGGATTTCAGTGAAAATGATTATGGCGTCTTTATTTGTCTCATTAACTTAAACGATAACAAAGATCCGTTCTACATCCCAGGCAAATAAAGAGACTAAAGTACATTTTCTACCAAGGTTGCTCCACACCAAGAGTATAAACCAACATAAAGATGCCTTAAAAATCCATCCGACTGGTTGGAATAAATCCTCCTGCAACTTTATGCCTGGCTTGTCTCCAGTTAATTGCATATGTGTCGTAGGTGAACCATGTAACATGTTAAGGGTGGTAAAAACCAAATCAACCTTGAAATTATTAAAGAAAATTCAACCACCCACTGTACTTTGATCTTAATATGAAAAATAATTTTTAATGCATTGCCACTCAAATTAAAACCATTAGGGCTAAGGATTAAATATTGAGAAGATCCCATGTTATCAAACCTGATGACGTATTAGTTTGTTGAATATCGGATGGATTATATTTCTAACCTGAAAAGAATTATTTTTTTTTTCCCTAAAGGTTCTGATTGTGAGATTTTCAAGCAAGATCTAATAAATGTCTTTCAGCTTAGGCGTACCTGGCATTTGTCTTAGTGCAAATTCAGTGCTAATTGTAATGTGTAAATTGCTCATTTAACCTGAGTGAAGAAACACTTTTTATCAATCAAATCCTCACCTAATGAAGTTATGCTCTGCATCATTTAAGTGTTCTTGTTTGCAATGTCTCACACATTTTTCATTACGCTAGTTTTCCACCCAAATAGAGTATGGAAAACCTTTTATGCAGTCAAGGCTGAGTGAGAAGCATATTAGCTTTTAACAGCTTTTCTTAATAGTCTTCCACAATACATTCCTCTTGTAAAACATGTCCTAAACTCTAACTTTACCAGGCTATGCTAGAGAAAAACATGTTCTCTATTATGATTCAAGGTGTTTAGCAAAGCAATTATGTTTACAGACAAATCAAATACAGCCAGTAAGGGGTAAAATCTTTAATAACCATCAGCAATACTGCAACTTAACGTTTTTCATGATCAAACCAAAATAAAAACATTTTCAATACTTTGTCCATCCCAGCAGTGAATCTTATAGAACTCAAAGTTTTTTTTTTATTGAATTTCCCCTTTAAACATCACAGTTAACAAGAAAACAACAAAAAAGTCAAATTCAAATCTGATGACAGAGTAAAATATAGAGAAATGAGTTAAAATTGTTGCAGTGTTTCATCAACTTGTTATAACAGAGACAGTTATAAAAATAAAACAGTTTAATCACCTTTTTTATGACAAACACAACCATGCTTTAAATAAGAGTCTCCCTTCATTAAAGACTCCATTTGGCAACAAAGAAACTCAAAGATTTGCTTTAATCTGCAATTAGATGTCTTTAAATACAGTAAGGCTTTGAAATACACAAGCAAAGGCATTTTTAGTGTTAAATGCTCTCAAGTGGTTGTTTTCCTTTGTACATTATCATCTCTACCCTCAGAGTTGAAGCAAGTCTTTACCCTATTTTGGGTCCTAACTGGTCTTAAAACAGCTCTGAATGCTTAATGCATTCTCCATAGCAGCTGGTGAGGGGTTTAAACATAGACAATTATCAGATAAGAAAAGGATGCTGGTTTATCTTCCATCTGAAAACCTAAAGTCAAGATGAGACTAAAGACTGTTAAATCTACAATAAACTGAATTTTGAAACATTGACAGGTGCTATGGACAAACTCCAATATTGCTTATCTTATTTTTATGATTTAATCCTAAATGTTTCAGCTTAGTGAAACATCTTATTTTGGAAAAAAACAAAAAAACAATTGTAACTATTCTTTCTATAAGTCATGATTATTTCATTGTGTTGATATCAGGATATGTCATACCGGATCAGTGACACTAACATCAAACTTTCTAAAAGGTTTAGGTTAAAAAAAAAACAAAAACAAAAAGCACCTTCCTATTAAAAATCAAGCAGCAAATCATTGTGTTAAGACATGCAATAGCATAAAGATTAAAAGAAGCAGAGAGATCTGACAGTGAAGCAGGACGAATCGATCATTTTGACTTTTTTTTTTTACCCATTTCATTTTTCTTTCACTCTAAACCTATCAGAATTACAAACAGCTTTTATTCTATTATTTCATCAGGATTTTTAACTCGGTATCTTTTTAGCCCCTTAAAGATGCTTCTTCAGTCTAAATGCATCTAAAGTTCATCAGAAAGCTTAAAAATACATGATGGAGCACATTAGTACTCTACAGGGCAAAAAAATATATATATACCCCAGAAATAACATGCAAAATTGCTCATTTTTACTCAAACACATACCCACATTTACTAAAATCACAGAACTTTGCTGTTTTTCCAGAGCTTTAGCATCCTCCACATTTGTTGGCTGCCCCTGTATTGGTTAGTAATGACCTAGAATCTATTTATTTGTTGCAGTGAAAAATAAAAATTATTTTTAAAAACAAACAGAAGTTTAATTATATATATATATATATATATATATTTTATTATTATTATTTTAAATAAGTCAAGTATTATTCTCTGCTTTCTGCTTCTATTAAAAATCAGAAAGAGAAGAAAATATGCAGTTTCAATATAAAGCAGACATGTTAACGGTCCCGTCCGTCCTCTCTGTCTAAACATAGCTAAATCTAGAAATAAAGCAATAATTAGAAAATTTAGAAAAACTTAAAGAGGTCTAAAAAAATCTCAAACTGATATTAGAAACTAAAAGCTAAAGGAGAAAGATGAATTTATTTCACAAATGCAAGTTTACTGGGTGGGCCAATAAATCTGGAGGACGCTGCTTATGAGAAAGGAGTTCATGATGAGATGTTTAATGTACCACAGAGTCAAACCGTGCTGTAATATGAAAGTAATAACTTAAACAGACATCTGTGTGCTTATTGCTTTTCTTTTTCAGATAGTTGTTGCACCCGTTACACATAAAATGATCTAAATCTCCTCAAACATGATTCCTCTGCTTTTGTGGGATCCTAACGGAGGGGAAAATATGCATGAAACAATCCTAAAACACATTCCTGAACAACAACCCTGAATGCAGAGGGCTACATCCCTTAGAAAAAAACAAGATGTAAACAGGTGACGACCTGCTGAGTAACATTAAGGCAATAAATAGCTATATCAGATGTGCCTCTTGCTAAATAACCATTTGAAGGCTAATCATCTGCAGCATTCAGGAGAAGATTATCGAAAAGACCCTAAAACAGCAAACTAAGAGAGCAGATGGAGAGATTGTTTACAGGAAGACAAATCCAGGGGTTCATCTAATACCTGGATCATGCTGGTCATCTGTTCACATGATTTAATTTCAGAAGGAAGGAAATGATCTGACATACTGCAGCCAACAGAGCTCAGTTTTCTGGTACCAACTGCCTCCCATCTTTCAGCTGATTGTGGTTCTCGGTGCAGCTTCATTGTGCCAACAAATTATAATCTCATTCAAGACCAAGAGATACACAGAAAAAAAAAAAAAGACCATGAAAGCAACTAAAGGCATAAAACAGAACCCGAGGATAGACAGACTTCAAGAAATATCCACCATTCAGACAGGAAAATGAAAAGATGCTTAAAATAAGTTCATGTCCAGGTCATGAGTGCTTTCAGTTTAGTCTCCAGCTTTCACACGATGTACTGGTATACGTCGGCCTTGCCATGGTCCGGCGTCGCAAACGGGCTGAGCCAGGCTATAGAGAAGGGGTGGCCGAACACGACCTTCATGTTCATCCATTTGGACCTTTTGGCCCATCTTCTCTCCTCCTTTTTTAGCTGTTCGATGCCCTGTAGAGGTAAAATAAACACTTTCAATGTCAATGTAGGAATAAAATAAAGGGGGGAGGGAAATTAATCATGTTTTCATTCTTTTGTTTTTTTTCTTCCACAGAGTCTAAGTGACTCACACACTTTCCTCATAAACAAACTGAACTGCAGGCTCCATTGCCTTGAAATTGACTGAGACAGATTATCTTTGTAGTGAGTATTATAGCGCCGTGAGTCATGCTTGTGGGTGTACTGAAGTCAACATGGCAGAGGGCTGGAAGTGAATTACCTGCTTTTTAATAGAGCTGAAGTCTGTGTTCTCTATAGGGAAATTATAAAAGCTAAATATAAGCTGAAGGGGCCAAACGGCAGACCCTTGTAACTCTGTGAGCCGCTCAGGATAATCATCAGCTCTACATAGAAAATGAAGGAACAAATGAGAAGATAAACAATATAAGGAGCTAACCATTGTGATGGCAATATGAAGGCCTGATTTCACTTCCTTACCAAACACAGAGTTGTTTTACAAAATGCGTATAGATTTAGAATCAACAATTTATATGTTACTTTGATTCATTTCCCTTACAAACAGGAGTACAAATACAGTTGTGTCATTTACAACTACTTAAAATAACACAGTTAATCCTCCACACATCTACCAATGAATCCATCACTCCAACACCATTAATCATCCATCCAGCCTAACAAGCTGTAACATTTTTTTTTGATTGTTTTTACTTCTAAAGGACTTCCTAAAGACTTTTAGGGATGTTCAATCTGCTCGAAAGTGTTATTATATTTTTCTGTGTTGAATATATTTGCATTATAAACCGAGTCTCTCCAAGAAAACACAACTATGGGTCCACCAAGACAAAGAAGATTGATTAATCGCGTTATGGTTAATTCTACTCAATATGGTGAATCTTCTCTTCAAATCAGGCTTTCACTAATTTGAGCTACAACAATCCAGAATCATCTGGTGTCTGGACCGGCGGGGGTGAATTTCAGTCCGGACAGATGTTTCTTCTTGGCTCTACCTTTCTCACATCTCATCAAAAATAGGCAGTTATCTTGAGCTATTTTCTGTATTTGTGCTGCTATATGTTTTAGCTGCTGGATCACATAGGGAAAACTTTTAATCTTTCTGCTTCAATTCTCCATTTCGGCAGTTCTCTCCTCTGCTCTGTCCCTATTCGGTTGTGACTCCATCCTGGATTGGAATATCAGCTTTGCAGCTGCCATTATCATCTCTGTTTATAGATATTGGAGCTTGACCTGTTTCCAGTGTAGTCCTGTTTCTTTTACTGTGACTAGAATAATCTGGCTGTGTTTTTCCTGGAAGGGGCCACCTGTAGAGCTAGCTAACAGTTACCTTTTGTATCTCTGCTTCTATCTCATTGAACCCCAGTCAGCCTGGCAGATGGTCAGTCACACTGAGCCTGGATCTACTGCAGGTTTCTTCCTATTAAAATTGAGTTTCCCTCTCCAATATCTCTCAATGCATGCTAGGTGTGAGGGATTGCTGAAGAGATGATGACAAAATGCAAGCGAAGCGAATGTCTTGCAAGTCAATGACTGGATGCAAAGAACTGGTTTTCCAAACCAATCTGACAGTACTGTCTCTGCAAAGTGCCTTGAGATGACGCGTGTATTGGTGCCATGTAAATAAACTGAATTGAATTGATCTCTATTTTTCTATATCTCATGAACACATAATAAAGAAACTTAGACCAACTTTGCCTCTATGCAAAGCACCTTTTTTTTTTTTAAACATGAGAGCAGAGCGGCAGCAGATAAAGAGACGATCTGTCATTTTCATTTCCACCTCTTATCACTCCTTAACATGACACTAAGTGGCTGATCTTCAGGGGCGAATGTGCTTTTACAAACATTTTTGTGCCTGTGCCTTCATCAATATGTAGATCCTATTCTAATGACCAAAAAGTACAAATGCATAGGTGAATGTGAAACTCAACTGCTGCAGCAGTTTTTGTGTCTTTTTTAGTACTTCTGAAAGGCAGGTGTAAACTTACAACCAAAAATATCAACAGTTATTGTGGCCCCAAAAAATGGCGCTGGTACAATGCCAGACCAACATATTTGGGCCCATTGAAAATAAAAATATTAACAGAAAAATAAATTTACAAAGGCTGGCACAGGTCAATGCAGAAGGACCTAATGCAAACTTCTTTCTTCATTGATTTAATAAAACATAACTGTGGAACAAGCATTTATTTTGCACTGTAAATATTTAGTATTATCATTATTACTTCTGATTAAATGGCTTAGAGACATTTACGGCCATTATCAAATCTGCTCATTGTAAAGGGGGAACCAAAAAAATGGTTTGCACATCTTAACCCTTGTGCAGCAATCTTTGTAGATCACCTTCAATACGCCCACTTATTAAAGTAAGCTAAAAACTTTATTTTTTTATTTTTATTTTTTTTATGTACATGCAATTTGGCACCCCTTATTTAAAATCTAAAATACTTTGCAATCTCTTCATAAGTCACTTTATGTTTAGCTTTAAATAAGGCTATGATTCAGTGAGTGAGATAAAACACATTTACTGCTACAGCTCACCTTTCTGTGTTATATGCAGGAATTCGGCACCTCAAAATTAAGAAATTACAAAACCAATAACACCAAACATTTCTGTAACCTTCTCCTAACTTTATTTCAATACCTTAAAGGTATTGTGGAGGATTTCTAAAAGACCTGCGCTCTCCGTTTGAAAAAAAAAAATGCGTGTGCAATAGCATGCACACGTTGTGAATGTGTCCACATTCAGCGGGACTTTTATAGTGGACTTTATAGCAAACTCAGTTAACTGACCGTTCGGTCAGATGATCACTGCTTTTTGCTGCATTGGACACCTAACTCCTCTTCCACCTGCACCATCTTTGTTTTTAGTTGCAGCTGTCGGGTAGCGACAGGCTATGGCGATAGCGGGCAGCTTTAACAGCAAATCCCATAGTGCTTTGCGAGGAGAGCTTCCACGCAAAGCATTTAGGGATGCATCTGCCTCTTCTCAGGCCTTTCTTTTCTTCTCATACACTTCCTAGAAACTTTTTGTCTTACGACCCTCAGCCATTTCTAAAGAACTGCGGTGAGACAGGTGACTGTCTGACACGGTAGCTCACCATACATATACGCCTGAAAGTGTGCATGCGCAGAAAAAGATAGCTAACAGGTTGAGCACGTAGGACAACCTTAAGTAAACATATCACCAGATCAATAGACAATTAGGAGAACCACTTATTTAGATGATCCAGCCGGAAATAATAGATTGTCCTCTATACCTTTAAGAAAACACTTGTTTAAAAAAAAAAAAAAAGCTTTAAAGGAAAACTGAATCAAATAGAGAACATTGTTAGCAAATAGAGGTTTGAAGACCTGACAGTTTATCCTCTTGACATGAAAAAATAGGACTTGGTGTTTAAAATGCAAACCCTGCTGCACCTCAGCATTTTAATCCCCAAGTTATTAAGAGTGGAAGGGATGAGGTCACTCACCGTTTCATCAGTACAGATAGAGTGGACCTGAGTCCCAAACATGACAGCAGTGAAGATCAGGAAGAGCAGACCCTCAAAGCACAGGAGGATAAGGAGGATGACTGTTGCTGGTGGAGAAAAGTTGCTGCACTCTGAAAGAAAAAAATGAGTTTCTGTTACCTTAAAACCAGAGACACACCTCTTTAAAACTTTATAATGGTTAGCTTTATGCTTTCTCTTTTTCTTTGACCTGGAAAGCCAAAAATGATGCATTCAAGTCTATAGGCAAGAAAGGTTAAAAATGTCATCTTTAAATACTAATTTCCAAATAATTAGAAAGAATAACGTATTGTTGTTTAAGGGTTACAGCCTTATTTCTTAGCAAATCACTTCTAGTGTCCTAATTGGTGAATAGAAATTGTTTCTCTAAATATCAAGGTTCCAAAAATTTGTTTTTTTTCATCTTTTAGGAGGAAATGTGAAAAAGCAGCACACAGATCACCCTGATATAAAAAATAAGCCTTCTTTTTCAATGTCAAAGGTTTTCTGTGGTCTGGAGCAAAAGGTCATCGGCACCAAAGTACAAACCAACTTTAAGATAAGAAAGGTCATTTGAAGGAACTAGTGAATTATCATCAACAAGAGAAAAGCAGATTTAAAACCAAACCTGAAGTGGAATTTAGATCTTCTGTGACTGTAAAGGGCCATTTTTAAAGGGTTTGAAAATGTGTTTGTGTTGATCAAACATCGGGGGTAAAATATACAAAAGTCGATATGAAAAGAATTTTAACTGTCTTTCAAAAAAAAACAAAAACATTTTCTTTTTGGTTCCCAACATACAGATACTTAAAAAGAAACAATTTAAAATCAGTTTTATTACAGTAAAATGTGTGTGTGTGTATATATATATATATATTTTATTATTTTTATTTTGAACTATATAGAAACATGTTTCTGGAGTCTCAGAGTTGTAAACAGAACATGTGCACAACTAATGGAGGTTAGCATCATTCTAAAACATAAGCAAATATAATTGGATCATAGTTAAACAAAATGAGCTTCCTACTCATCAGGAAACATCTTGAAACTATCAAATAAAACAATAATCTAATCCGAAAAATGTCAAAAGAGGCAATAAATCAAAGAGGACAGGGGGTTATTTTCTCACTCATACAATCAGATACTTACTTGTCCAGTCTTCTTCAAAGCAGAACACAAAGTGGAAGGCTGCCATAACTAATGCATGGAAGGATATTAGTGCAATGTACATCTGAAAGACAAACAGACTGAATGTAAATGGCTTAAAAGAGATCATCAAATTTTTATTTTTATTGTTATTTTTTTTCACTAAAAGACTCACAGTAAAAAGAACAAAGTATTTCTGGTTGTTCTCTCCAACACAGTTGTTCACCCAGGGACAGTGGTGGTCCATCTTTTTGATGCAGCGTTTACACACACTGCAGGCACATGGTTAGATAAATAAATACATACAGGAAAGCAGTGAGGGGGCTGTGAATATAGAGCATATATACAGCACATACAAGCACAAATTATCTATATAAACTTAGAAGTTGTATGCATCCCCCAACTAACAGGAGTGGACCATTGTTAGCAGCTGTGGAGTTGTTTTATGGGAGGGTAGGATCTGTCCCATTGCAGATATATGAGCTGTACCAACTGTCCTTTCAACAAAGCTCCACCTCAGAGGGTAAAATCATTAGAGAAAAACAATATTTCAATCTACTCTGACTTTTGGCTCTGAAACACATCAACTCCCTAAAATTTCAATTACTCTCCCGTGTCTTTGCATTTTTCCTGCCTGGGTATCCCATAGAAACTAGAGCCGCTAAAGAGGGAAATCCCATTCTGCAGGGAAATGTTGCTCAAGCAGTGTGAAAAAAGGTAAATAAAGCACACATGAGGGATGCAGAAGTAGTTGTGGAGCGAAAAAAAAAAAAAAAAACACACAGGAGGAGCCAGATCCCACTGGGCCAATAGCATCAAATTAAAGCAGACTGAAAGACTTTGCGGTGTGCAGCGTTACCTGCAGTGGTGTGCCCGGTCGGGTTTGATGCTGCAGCACTTTGGACATTTGTAAACCACCTGTCCTGGTTTGAGCTGCAGACTTTCAATGAATTCTTTGGTTGCGTTCCCTTTGGGCACAGCTCCCTGCAAAACAGGGGAGCGAAGAAAAAATAAATAACCGTTGAACTGAAAATAGAAATATTTTAATAAAAACCTAATTTACAACCTCATAGATTTTGTTTCTAAGGAGTTTTTAACAGACAATATACAATAATATATACAAGGTTGATGGGGGGATAAAATGTAAGTCAGCTTTGACATTATAGAACAGAAAGGTCTGAAAAGGGAATTAAAGAATAATATTAATATGATACTAAAAAAACATATGTTTTTTTTATAATATTAGCAATTTTTAACTACATTTAATTTCTTCTATCATTTTATGCATTTTTTCCATTTATACACTAAAATTGTGAGATTGGTTGAAAGAAAAACAAAGGCAGAATTGAAATTAATATAGTAGAGTTTTAGTAAAGTAATGCAAACTATATTAAATAATATCAAACTGAAATTAAACTGTAAAATTATCTGCTCTGCAGCCATGTTTAACCAGTCTTGTGACAAATTGCCGAATTTGGGAAATGTTTTAACTCCTTGCCAGTAGTACATACTCTAGTAATATTCGAACTATAGACTGACTATAGACTTCAGGAAAAAAGAAAATCTGGTGTAAAATCACCATACTAAATATACTAAAACATCATGGTACAAGTTTAACTCATGATATCTGCAGTCAGAAGTGGAAAACAGTAACAGATAATCACTACTATCATTCAGAAAAGCATGAACCCATCAGGTTTGGGTTGGTTAAGTTTGCTCAATATGACTAGATAAAGCAGATATCTTAATCTCTAAACACCAAGCTAATTCAAAAAGGTCTCATGATGACACACAGGATGAATAGGACTGATCTGCCAGTTTTAAATATGCATTAAGTAGTTTGAGGTTCCAAGTAGTAACCAATAAAAGTGCAGTGATAAAACTAAAGTGGTAAGTGATAAGCTAAATAGTCATTAATAGCAAGTGTGCAAGTTTTATAAAGCAGCTTATACTTTTGGAAGACTTTCAATATCATACATTTGCTTACTACATGCAAAGGCTCATCACTATTGATATGCACCATTAAATGCACTACCATGAAACTCCAGACACTAAATAAATTCAACGAAGTTAATAATTAAGAATAATAAAACATATAAATCTAATATAGATGATAACACTGAAAACTTTTTTTATTTGGATAAAAATCAGGTAAAGTTGAAGAAGATTAAAGGGTGAAGTTTTCCTTTTTCTCCTGATGTTTATTACTAATATTCCCATAAAAATTATGCAACTTTTCTTTAATTTTTTTATAGCTCGTCAAAAAATAAAAAGCGTTGTGGAATCAGCAGGTAAAAGGTAGAAGGAAACTAGACATCAGAATCAATTTGGAAAAGTCTGACACATTTAGTTATAAGAAAGCGCTACCTGGTGTTCAACAGCTCTACACTGGGGTTCACGCCTTATAGCAAACATATTTTTTTTTGTATATTGCAAAAATATGAAGGATAACAACCTGCATTTGGCGTTTGTTAAATTTTTGGTTTATTTAGGACTCAATTACATTCACCACTAATTATAGTACAGAATAGTAAGGACTGCACACTTCATTGAACTGAGAATGTATTCCTTATTTAAAATATACACAAATATGTTGTTTCTAAATAAATGCTCTTCTAAGGAGCTAAATATAACTCTAATAAATAGTTCCAGCATATAACTGTTGTGGGGGTGAGTGTTTTATGGGTTAAAAGTGAATTCCAACTGACCGGGTCTGTGCACATGGCTCTGGCGTGAGAGGCGAGGGCGAGGAAGGCGAGGCCATTAAAGATCACCCCGTTAAAGAGACTATAGGCAATGTTTTTGGCTGGCAGGAGCAGGACGAACACCACCACAAACTCTGCGTAGAAGACCAGGAACCAGGTGATGATGCCACACGCAATGCCGCAGCCGTCACGGATAAACCACATGGTGCCTGAGCTGCTGCGGGGAGGAGGAGGGGCGCAGTGCTCGGGCTTCAGGTAGCCGGCTTGCCGCTCGATGTCTCTGGTGCGGTGCGCCGGGCTCTTCATGCTACAGCCCCCGTGGCTCCAATCTCATACTGCAGGGAGAAAGGAAAAGCAGGAGGAACAGCAGAACACAGAAGAAAAAGGGAACAATTAGAAGAAATCTAAGGAACTTTGATACAAGCATACATACACGTTAACTATCAACTATCATATTAAGCATACTTTTTTTCCACAACAAAGTTTCTAGAACCAAATTTCCAGAGTTCTGTGTAATTTTTAATGGATACAAAATTCAATCACAGACTGAAAATACCAGGTATCTCTAGAGTAGTCTCATTTTGATCTAGAACCAGCATAAAAAAAATGAGACAGATATATGACAGAGAGGAGAGAGGCTTGCATGAAATTTTTCATAAATGCTTTTTGCCACAGGAAGATTCTTGATTAACTTTTTAGTCTATATTTCTTCTACATTACAATTGTGCAACTGAGTGGCCACCATGACAGGTCAAAGATTCAGCTATGATTGCCTTTAAGTCGTCTGAATGAGAATCGAGCCTAAAGGCTGGTATTAATTTAGCAGAAATTAATTCCTCAAAGGGTCAGACTAAAGTTGCCTCATAATTATTATTTAAATCCAAAATAGTTTAAAATACCCAGCTAGCTACCAAGAGATATAAATTGATCCGCGATGGTTAGGTAGACACAGACTAAATGAAAGCAAAGAGGGATAAAAATACCAACACATGGGAAATATCAGTATGACTGGTGAACAGGCGGATTTCCAGGAAGCCCACTCAGTCTGCTAAATCTAGTCCTTTATTCTTTACAAATCTGTATTTTTACACATTAAAAGAACTTTTTGGATGTAAATGAAAGGCAAGATTATTGACAAAAGAATGGCTCTGTATCTTGTTTTCCCATTTTTAAATAGTTTGGAAGAAACTTGCAGAATAATTAGAGGATTGTGAGAAAAGCCTTTCAGCTGTTAGCTATACATGATGTTATTAAAACGGCTCCCAGAGGGAGGATATAAATTATTTACCTAGAATTTACTATATTGATGCTTTTTTTAACCTACAAATTAAGAGTGAGGGATCAAAAAAACAATAACGAAACAATGCAAATATTGAAATCTAAGTAAGTCAATTTTTCTTCAAATAAGCTGTTTTTTCTATTGAGCAGGTACAGTAAGTGAGACACTTTGCAAATGGAAAAAGACAATTTACATTTATAAATAAGAAAAAAAACAGCTGCAGTGTCTTATTCCAAGTGGATTATATCTAATTATCTTTTTTTAAGGGTAAAAACATTAATTCAATGGATAGATTATCTTATTTACCAACTCAAAGTAAGGTTAAATACATTGCTTTTAGATCATTTTTGCAGTGACGGCACTGGAAGCGATTGCTCAACCAGGAAGCATTCACAACTGTCACTGAAGTTATTGGTATCTTGTGAAACTAGTAAGAGTCTAAGTTCTCTCAGTCAAAGAGATAAGGAGGAACCTTCACTGAAACTGAAACTCATCCCGCCTGTTGATCCCAGGGGACAGAGGAGTTTCCTGTTTAGCCTGTGAGGATTTTAGATTCATACTGAGGAACTAGGGTTACCAAAACCGCTTGAAGCACATTCAGATACTCATCAATAATTTATTGGCGTGTATGACAGCCTGTTGCCAGAACACATATAGTGACAGAGCAGTGGGATGATGGCATCTAAAAGAGAGAGGCAGTATTAGACACAGACAGAGCTCATCCCCACGGGGACAACCAGTTCATTAATGCCCTCATGTGGTTTCATCAGATACTGAAAATAATGCTTTGTGCATTTAACCTGCTAGTCAAGGTATTCCAAAACAGTCAGCAAGTTAAAGTTACTTTTTTCTTTTTCCCTGTAAATATAAATTAAGTCTATGGCTGTGTCCAAACGTTCGCCTTAATCACTGTATAGGGCACTATGTAGTGGTTACGACATTTTTAATGAGTTTCTAAAATGTCTAGTGGATTAAAAAGTAGTGGACTCGAAATTATGGTCACTAGACGATCAGATCTACAGAACCTATCAGAACAATAAAAAAGGCAAATTGGGAAAAAAATATCGACAGCTGGGACAAAGATTCCCCTAATGAGACAGATTTATGTCAAATGAAGGAAATGTTGTTATATACAATAATATACCTTTATTTCCTAAAATGTTAATTACAGCAAATTAAAACCCCCCAAAACAAAGTATCATATATGACAAACAGAAAAGGATTTCTAAACATAAAATATGTGCCTACTGAAAAAGTATGTGCATGTGTTGTACAGTTAATGCAAAGAAATGCTTGACCGGGGCAAATTTTGGATGAATCGCTGCATCAGGGCATCATGAAGAGTTTTACACACCACAGTGACCAAAATAAATAAAAATGTAGAAAATAAAACAAATTAGGTAAAACGGCCTGATGCTTCTGCTCAAGTGGATTTAAAAAGATGAATATTTAAAAGAGAATCTAAATAATTTACAGTGAGGGCCCCCTTTACGATAAGTGAAAGATGGTTCCACGATTTTAGGAGCAAAAATCAGAGAAAGCCCAGTTTTCTCTGCCCAGAGGGAAGTCCTGGAACAAAAGCTGCAGGTTATCTGACCTTATGGTTATGCAGAGAACATGCTTGTGTGTGTGAGTGGATGATGGATAATAAATGATTACAGAAATAGAAATATATGTCTATTCTTACTTAAGAATATTTTTCTACGAACTTTTGCATCAGGGTAGAGTGAACAGAAGGATACTTTGGATGGGCAATCAGATGGGAAACAACTCTTCTGTAACCATGTGTTTAAGCTGCCATCTTGGCCAGGTCAGTCTGGGAAATGGGTTTAAATTTTAATGATGTAATTTATGTGGTTGAATAAAAGGATATAATAAAAAGCTAGATGGTTGTTTGGTTTGAATGGATCACTGATGTTAGAATGGATTGATCAAACATGAGGAAAAAGCTCTCCATACTTTTCTAGACATGGGGTAACCATGGAAACAAAATGTTGAGATCACCTATGGTCCCCAGCCATTGAGCCAGGATGGATAACATTCAGAAAATGAAATAAAAGGTTAAAGTTAGACACACTCCAGTGTATTGAAATATATCAGGGTGTTTGTCTAAAGAAATACTGTAGAACTGATGGTACTAAACAACGAAAATATCCCAGCAATCTTTAGAATAAGACAAGAAGGCATCACCTGTGTAGTCAGTATTAGATTTATTTATTTTTTTTAAAGAAGCTTTTTATTCTGCTGATTAATGATCGCATCTAATAGATGGAACTCCAACCAGGAAGTTAACTCTGGCAGCTAGAAAGGAGCAGGGAATGTTTCCCATCATTATAGTTGGGAACAAGCTTAGTTTGGATGTTCTGGTTATATTTGAAAGCTACACAACTCACCTCTTGGTTTATGGGATTACTATGATGTCTTCTTGTAGTTCTTGGTTTGTTTTTAGCTCTCGGAGACAGAAAAGAGTCCAACCAGGGTCAGCAACGCGCTCGTTTGCTAGCTCAGTCCAAGCTAACCTCTCAGCTGCTGCTAACGGCTCTGCTAGCCGCTCCGCTGCCTCTGGTTCAGACTCTCCTGCTTCTACATAAAACTGTTATGTCAATGAAGAAAAACGCGACTGAAAACCTGCTGCCGCTCCGCAGCTGCTCTGCTCGGTTACATCCACCAAGCTCTGCGGGAAGAGGAAGACAACAAATCGGATCCATCCAACCAGGAAGTCAATGCCAGGAGAAGGGCGTTGTGCCCTGAGTGCAGTCTGTCAGGTTGTTTATTTTTCCCAAAACCTGCCATCAAAATACCAACATGCTGCTGAATTAACAAACATACGCTAGAAAATGATAACTACTAACTGACCCAGTTTATTATATAATGTTTGGTAAATGACTGCTGATTCGTCTATAAAACAGTAAAAGTAGGATGCTGTTGAAAACATACTTTAATGTCTTCCTGAAGCTATATCTCCAGGTATAGGAAAATACTTCAATTAGCTGCTGTTAATCTCTCAAAGCTGTAATATTTTAAGAGCCCATTTTAAATGCCACTTTTCCTGAACTCTGGAAACAAAAACAAAAAATAATAATAACTATACTTCTACTTAAAGACACAAAAATAGGTTTTAATGGATCAAACAACAGACCAATCAAATATAATTCTAAATAAAAACATAATCAAATATATAGCAGAAGACAATTTTTAATCAAATAATGGGTTATTTTTATAAAAATGGATTGCTAACGCTGTTCCAACATGCATACAGACAGGGCTTCTCAAATAATACTGCACTAGAACTAGCAATGGTTACTATGTTTGGATGAAAGGAAACTAGTAGGATTTTTTATTTTGGAGGCCTTATTATGGCAGAAATGAAAACATCCAGGTTTCACAGCTGCATTGGTCTGGATGCAGTGTTATATCTTTAATAGGACACAGAAGGTCTGTATCAATGGCAGTTTTTTAACAGTATAACATCATGCAGTCTTTCCAAGGAAACAGTCCACTTAAATACAGTTGTTGACTGGGTGAATAATAATAAACTGTATTAAACAATTCTAAAATTTAATGTTTCACTTTTTACAGTAGATTTACGCTACTTAATACTGGGCATTGAATTAGACAATGTATCATTGTGCTCAGATCAAATAATCCACACAGCATTATATGCAGTATATGTTCTGTGTATTTTGTGGTGGGTGTTTTGTGGCTTTTAAAAAGTTTAAAACTAATGAGATATGTATTCTGTTTTAATCACATGTACCCTAAATTGTATTTTGATGTCATTGACATCAGGGAAACTTGCAACCATTGCCTTGGAAGCTCGTGGGGATAAAAAAAAAAAAAAAAAAAAAAAAACAATCAATAATCAATGAACTAGATTATAAAGGGTAAATTCTATTTTTTTTTTTTTTTTTTAAAGTGGTGAATGCAACATAGAAATATATTTTTTTAAATGTACCTAAGGATTTTGGCTATCAGAATGCACACACGTCCCAGGGAGTAACTGCTTGGCTGAATCTCTCAAAACAAGAGAAACTCTTGCAACAAGAAAACAGTGTGATGTTCAAAATTAGTTCCTTTAACCATCATAAATATGTTTTCTTATGTTTGGAAAAGTCTGCAGTCTCGATTCACCCTACCTGTGCAGCCCCGTTGGGTTAAACTAACTGTTGATAAGTCAGGAAAGCAGCCTGGATAGAGCTGCAGGTTGTAATGCTGCTGTCCTACAATATCTAGATCATAGGGTCAGTTCCAGCCTGAGGACTTTATGTGTTAAAGATATTTATGTTTTATGGATATTGAAAAATAGATACGCCTTCCTTATTAATTTTCTCAACCAATTTCAGAGTAAATTGTTAAATTCTATATGCAGTTTTTTTTTTACAGAATATGCACAATATTTACTTATTGTATGATTTAATGTAATTGTAGTTCCGTGAAGATGTATTTGCCTTTGTATTGCCTATGCAAGTTGCCCTTTGTGAACATATGTAAAATTTAGAAGCTTTAAGTACTTAACCTGGCCCTAAATAAATTAATAAAAAGGTTTTCCCTGCAACCTAGTTGCTGATTGCACCACATTTTTTCAACAATAATTGAAGGGTTGGTAGTTGAATATTTTGAACAGTTCATTACTGTATAGTAACTCAAGAGTTTCTGCACAGATAAAGAAAGTGGTTCCAAACATAAACAGTTAGTAAAAAAATGTCTACTCCTTACTGAACATTACTTCAGTGTTTCGGGGATTTTAAATGTGAAGGATTGTTAAATATCTGGGGAATGTTTGCATGAAATTACTGCAAAGTGATTTTTGATAGATGGATAATGATCAATAGTGATACCAGCAGAAAAAAAAAATGGTATGAAAGTTAATAGAACTTTGGTTATGAGTAATAAATGAAAAGACACTAGGTACAAAAACATTTAAATTCTCAAAAGACATGAGAAGAAGTTTCGAAACTATTCCTGACCATACTAATAAAGCAATACTCTGTTCATCAAAGCAAAGAAAATTGCCTATTGCAGAGAATTTCTGATTTTCTAAACTAAACCTGTATTTACAGGGCTGATACAGACACCTAAAGAAGTCAGAATGAATGACAATGTATATGGTGGATCTAACAGGAACAGATGAGCAGTCTTAAGTTTTTTCCAAATAAAAAAAAAGTAGTCAATATGCATTTAAAAAAATAAAACAAAGCCAGATGGGTCCATTAAGATAAAACGAAAATGAAGTGTTTTGATAGTTTACTGTTATTAGAGCCAGATATGTTTACAATGAAGGCCTACAGTTCAGATTTTATTTTAAAAGCCAGAAAAAAAGGAAGTTCTGTGACTAAATTTAGATTTATGTATGTGGTACTTCCCTTATAGAGTTATCTGGTTTATTTATAGTTTTTGTATGGCTACTGGAGCAACTAAAACTACCCCAATTAATGCTCTTCTAATAGAGGCTGGAGAAACTCCTTTAGAAATGAGACGGGTCAAAATATCACTTTCATATTGGATCAGTATTAAAAGCAGTAGTGAAGAAAACCAAGCAGCAAGCATAATCAAGAACTGTTGGGAATATACCAAATTTACAAGAAAGGGCTTTGGCTGGACTGTGTATAGATGGGCAGAAAATATATGAGTTGGATGATAAGATATTCTCTAAAAATAACCCAATCAGTGCTGTACCACCATGGTTGTTTCCAGAAACAAAAGTTGAATTGAAAATACATGAAATGAAAAAGAATGGAAACATAATAAAGTTGGGGTTAAAACTAGCATATGTATTAGACAATTGTATTATAGTTATTTAAAAATGTACACAGAGGGTTCCGAAAATACAAAGGGAAATGTGGGAATAGGGATATTTATTCCAGAGTTTAATATATGTATTAGTAAATGATTAACAGACCCTTTATCTATATACTCAGCAGAAATGGTAGCAATTATTAGTTTACAGTGGGTGGAGGAGGTCAGACCGGACAGGGTGGGGATTTGCACAGACTCTAAAGCTGCAATAGAAAGCCTTTCATTCAGGAGGAAATAATAGGAAAGACCTTGCACTAGAAATTCATCAGAGTTTGTTTAGGTTATTTAGGTATGGAATAGTTGTTCAGTTCTGTTGGGTTCCAGGACACAAAGGGGTGAGAGGAAATTAAATAGCAGACAAGATAGATAAAAAAGCTTTAGGAAAGCAGAATATAGATCAGATCCTGTTTGGGAAGGGAAAGGTAAATCAATCATTAAAAAGAAAGAAACAGAATTATGGCAAAAAATATGGGATGAAGGGAGAAGATTGGATAGTGTTCAAAATCTGTAATTGTTAAAAATGATGGAGAAAGAAATAGAAGGGAAGAGATAATTTATACTAGATTAAGAACTGGTCATACCTACTTGAATGAGTTTTTGTTTGTACTACGGAAGAGAAATAATGATTTATGTGAGGGTTGTGAAAGAAAAGAAAAGGTTGATCATGTTTTGATGGATTGCATTAAATATGCACCTGAAAGAGAGAGAGGATGAGGAAAGTAATTATGGAAAAAAGGGGGAGATTGGATTATATGGAGATAGTGAAGAAAATTTGGTTATTAATAAAGCATTGTTTTTATTTTTACATAACACAAAAATTTAAAAATAGAATATAGTAGGTGGAACTATAGAACTACACACTCATGTACAGTAGGTGGCGGTATGCACCTATAAACTGTTTGCAATCCGCCATTCAACATTGAAGAAGAAGAAGAAGAAGAGCCCGGAAGAAGAGTGGAAAAATAAAACATGGCAACAGCACAAGTTAGCGAGGCTGAGAAAGTGTACATCCTTCATGGAATAAGGGTAAGGCATTGGCTCTTGTTGGGACCGTGAAGCTGAACGTGTGTGGTAGAATTTAAAGGGTCTTTTCGCCACCGAGCCGCCCGTATTTATTAGTTTTCTCTGGTTCTGTTTAGGATGATTTACGGGTGGATGGAAGAGGCTGCGAGGACTACAGACACATGGAAGTGGAAACAGATGTTGTTTCCAACACTGACGGATCTGCTAAAGTCACCCTGGTAAATTCATAAATTCTGTTGGGTTCAGTCATATGGCGCCAATTCATCACACGTCATCTAAAGACACCTTAGTGAGTCAGTTCATTCAGCTTATGCAGGGAGACCTTGCTTGTTGCACAGTGTAGTTGACTTTGCAGCAATCCCTCACACCAAGTATACCTGGAGAGGAGAAACTCCCTGATAAATGATAAGTTTCAGTTCCATGATGCCTTATGTTTTATCTAAACAACTTGAACAGAAAAAAAAACACATTTGAGCTCATGAAGACTAAAAGATTTAACTATTTTACAGGAAATTCCACCACGTCATTCTAACACACTATATAGGGAGATATTGCCCATTAATTATGCAATTATATAGAATCCTAATCAGCCAAATATTTAGCAGATCAAGTGCAATTAATCCCAGTCTGGTCATTTTCAGTTAAAAAACATCAATTTCAATCCTAATTGTGTTAAAGTACATAATATGTGTTTGTAAATGTTTACCGTGGGTCTCAGATCGTCTCGTTCTTCCTTTCAGGGCCACACTGCTGTTCTTGTTGGTGTCAAGGCTGAGATTGGAAAACCAAGACCTATGATTCCAGATGAGGGATACCTAGAGTTCTTTGTGGATTGGTGGGTTTGTGTTTCTTTGCATATATGGAGTCAGAATTACTTATTATTAATTATATATTATCAATTAATTTGTTTACATGAAGAAATTGTCTGTAGAGTTCCTGCACAGTTTGTAAAAGTATTCAATTCCATTGTGTTCATTTTACATTCTGAATAGATATAGGGAAGTAGTTGGATTTCCACACCAAATTGCATAACCCAGTCTTAAAAAGTTGCCTCCATACATCCTTAAATTAGTGTAACCCTTGTTATTTCAATGGAAAGGATGGCTAGTAGTAGAACAAACAAACAAATACAGGGCTATGAGCAAGTATATTTCCTCCTTCCAGCCTTTCATTTTTTTTTTGTCACATTTAAATCTTTCAGATAATCAAACAACATTCAGCATCAGATAAATTTAACCTAATATAAATGTGTAAGGCAGTATACAAATGTGGATTCAATTTACATGGGTTAAAAACAATCCATTCTGACCCCATGTGGAAAAAGTCATTTCTCACTTGATTAAACCATGAAATACCTGTTTAATGAACATTTCTGAAAGCTGAGATCAGTATTACAAGATGTAAGCCTAAGCTCTAGAATCAGAAACTCAATTAAAAGAAACTTTCCAGTCTGCATAGAACCTATTGATCAACAGGAAGTAGGCTTCTAGATGTCGAAAAGAAACAAATTTCTAAATAAATATCCAGAACTGATGTGAGATAAAGTTGTCAACCCTTTTTCCAGTTAGGGCCCCATGATTTAAAGTCCCAAGATTTTAAATTCAGGGGCCCTTGCCAATAAAGTGGGCCTGAATTAAAAGTCCCAGGAATTCTTTAACCAAGGGAAGGAATAAATGAAGATTTGTGTGTTTCCTGTTTCTGTTGCTCTGAAAGACCACGAAACATCTATGTAAATCTGCATACAGGGAACTTGCGAAAATATCTGCACCACAACTTTAGTCAAGCAGGTGGCGGTATAAGGAAAGTCTAAACAAACCGTTCTTTTTCAAACTATATCAAAATCTTCTCTTCTAGACTTAGAAAGCAAAGGAAATATTTAGCATTTGGTTCCCTTTTTATTTTTTTAATCAACCTGCAATTGGCCAGAGTTGTTGCTTTAAAATCTCACGATTAATTTACTGCTAAACACTGACTTATTTGTCTTTTATTCTCATAAGGTAGACTACATTTAGTTACTTACAGCCCAAATGGAGACTAAATGTTTTGTAAACGTGTTTGTAAAAAATTCTTTAGCAATATATTGCTTTCACTAGGGAAAATGATCACAAAATAGGTTAAAAGTCATTAAAATAGGTGTATTAAATATAAACGGGTAAATAGAATGATTTTCCAATGAAATTAGTTTTTCAGTCTTAAAATAAGAGCACACAAAAGGAGAAGCAATTCTCTTCACCTGATCCCAAGACAGGGCTGCTGCGTGCTTTAATGCATCGCCAAAGGCGTCAATGTATTCACAGATATCGACACGAGGAAAACAATTGATGCTAATATTGACCAAAAATAGGGGCAGGCTGATGTATTGCTTTATATTGGAGAAGATCATTGGGAGTTTTAAAGTTAATCCCGACCTGGAACTATTTTCATCTACTGCTGAGCTTTCTGCATAAAACTATAAAAAATATTAGATAAAAAGAGTTCACAGTTAATTTTCCCGAACACATTCACTCTAAATAGGTAAAAAAAAAAAAAAAAAGCAACAATGTACGTGCAGTTACATTAGGCATTCAGTGATTTACAGCTCAAATTCAGCCACAACAAACGGATAACAGTTAGTAGGAAATGACTTAGACTTAAACAAACACTATTGTCGTTTTGTATACACAGTGTATGCAAAAAGAATTTGCGTTGCATACAGCTTACAACAGTGAAGCAGTGAAATGACCATTACCATTTATGAAGTGCAGAAGTGATCAGAATATAAACAGTGTAGGAGGAAAGAAACTAGTTTAAAAATAATTATGCAAAAGGCATTGATATGGAAAGGTTCAGTGCAGTGCAAAATAAATATGGTGGAAAATACAGTAGAACATTTGAGTTGTGTCCTATTTAAAAGGATTATTAAAGTGTAGCAGGTTGGTAGTGCTAAATAATGTTTCAAGTGTGATGCAGAGTCACGTTTAGAGTTCAATAGAGTGAGCTGCTGAGATCTGGCAGTTAGTGTGCAGTTTGCACGCACTGAGCACGTAGACTCACACAACAAAGGCATGAGTTACAATCAGCTTACTGACATCACAAATGTCCCGTTTTGGAAGTTCCCAATCTCAAACTACTTTTTTTTTCGATCAGTTACATAAAAGCCCCCAGGGCTTTTCAAAGCCCAGACACAGAGCAGTGTTTCCAAACCTTTTTTGACTTGTCTAACCCTTTTTTCCTACCATGAGTTCCTCTCTCAGTCAAAAGTATTGATGATTACCCAAAAGTGTAATGTACAGTAACTAATTATAAAATTAGCATTTAATTCTTAAGCATTTTTATTCTTTCCATCTAAAATAAAAAAACAACATAAACATTTCCCCCAGAAGCTAGTAAGGAGTCAAAATAAAATCATACTACCGGTATATGCCTTTATAAACTGGAGCTCTTATGAGTCACTCCCCTGTAATCACATATAAACTTGCTGAATTTGGAACTAAATGCTAAACAAAAATTATAGTCTGACTGATATCCATGTATTATTTTTTTACTTTGATTTCAACATTCTTGACACCTTGGCTGCTTTTAGGAGCTCCGATAGCTCAGTGTGAAACACAGCTAATACCAGGCTGTTCTCTACATCCAGTCTGCTCCTCTGCTTGGTTTGGATGTGTGTCAAGGCTGAGGGTGAACTCAAAGAAAATCGTACCTTTTGGTTGGAAAAAAACTTTTTCATGTTTTAGTTGGGTCCTCACAAAACAACCTAAGAAATAAAATATATTCATGAACACCTTGCAACGTTGCATGACCACCAGGGACCATTAAAATCAACCCCACCTTTTTGCTCTCTTCTGGTCTTCAGCTCAGCTAATGCAACCCCAGAGTTTGAAGGCAGAGGAGGAGAAGAACTGGGGACGGAGCTGAGCAACACCCTCTATAAAGTCTTCAACAACCAGCATAGCTTGGATCTGAGGAGCCTCTGTATCAGTCCTGGAGAGCACTGCTGGGTGCTTTATGTGGACGTATTGGTGAGTTAAAGCCTCCTGCGTCACCTTTCATGTATTTTACCTATGAGGAAACAACCTAACTCATTTGCCACTTAATCACACCAGCTAGGTTTTTATCTTTTTCTATAGAAAAGAATGTATTAGAGATGATTAAAGCTTAGCTGAATAAGTGCATTCAGACTGTAATTATCCTTAACTGCAGTGTGATTGGATTTCTACAAATCAAAAAATGGGAAAGGAAAAAAAAATTGGGAACAGCTGATCCACATGCTCCATTGATCAGACACCTATGGTGATGAGTATCATTGCACTAACATCTTGTTTCTTCCTCAGCTTCTTCAGTGTGACGGAAATTTGTACGACGCTATCTCAGTAGCTATAAAGGCTGCTCTCTTTAACACAAAGTAAGTTTATTCAGTTCTTATTACATGTTAGATTTAATTTACCTGCTGAACACCAAGGGTCAGATGAGCTATGTTCTGGTCACCTCACTGACAGGATTCCTAAAGTCCACATATCATCAGACGATGAAGGAGGGAAAGAGATCGAGCTCTCAGACGACCCTTACGATTGCATGAGACTCGACGTAGAAAACGTTCCCTGTATGGTGACTTTGTGCAAGGTAGGGCCGTCGCTGATGCATCCAGATAAAAAACTTTCTTTTCTTTTTTCAGAGACGATTAATGCCAAGTTGTTTTTTGTGCAGATTGGCCACAGGCATGTGGTGGATGTCACTCTGCAGGAGAAGGCCTGCTCTGTGGCAAGCCTCGTAATTTCCGTCACACACAAAGGTGTCATCACCTGCACAAGGAAGGTGGGGAGAGGCAGTCTGGATCCAGAGAGCATCTGTGAGATGACAGAGGTGACAACCCTGACTTCTTGGTCCTTATTATGATTCTATTTAATACACAAACTAATAATAATAAAAAGTTTAAAAACTTCACTTTATTGATCTCACACTGGAGAAATTCACCTCTGCATTTAACACATCCCCTTGGGGAGCATGGGGCTGCCACTGTGTGGCGCTCGGAGAGCAGTTTGGGGTTAAGGGTTTTGCTCAGGGACTCAGAGTGCAGGCTGTGGGTATCGGGCCGGGAACTTGCAACCTTCTCAGAGCAAAAGCGCACTGCTCTAACCACTATGCAAAAACTCCCCTAAACTATAATAGCTCTAACCTTTAAAAAAGAAAGTGAAACAAAAAAATATCTGGGTTTAATCACATATCCTTACTTAAATGTTTACAGTAACTGACCTTTCTTAGTGTTTCTGTTAAACAGTTTGACAAAGTAAAGATTTTAACTCATAACATGACAAGAACACAATAAGCAACCCAAGTAGAAATAAGCAATAGAAGCCATTGTTCTAACTGAAATATATATTCAGCTATTAATAGAAAAATGATCCTTATTTAAATTTAATTTCTTTTTGGTATCAAAGTATTTTTGAATTGAGTTGCAGCGGATAAACCCTGGAATGTTTCATTTCTCTTCAGGCAGGAAAACGAGTTGGGAAAGCTCTCCACTCTCCTCTCATGAAGCTTCTGCAGCAGGAGGAGAGTCTGGGCAAGAAAAGGCAGAAAGTCGGCTTTCTTGGTTAAAATCACTTGTTTGTATTGGTTGTATATGTAATTTTCTAATAAAAGCATCTTTGTACACTTTTCTGGTCAAGTTGCATTTTCTTTGCTAAGTTATTTCAGTGATATTTGGAGAAGCCAAAGTTATTAACTACTGAATTTACAGTTATCAAGCATCTATTGTCTAATTTTACTTTTGTATATTAGGGGTGGAGGATCATTGTACAGTGGAGGTGAGGTACCGTCTGGATAGAATGTTCATAAGAAGGCAACACGTGTACAACCATTACCCTTCACTAGCGTTGTTGTTTTTTTGTTGATTATGAACATTAGTTTTTTTTTTTTTTTTTGCTAAACTAAAACACTTATAAATTATCTGTAAAAACGGAATAGAAACTGAGCTGAACACATTAACCAAGTGCTTTATTCATAAAATGATCAATGCCATTTACTGTTTTCTTATCAAGAGATGACCTTATTCTCTACAATTAGGAGTCTATTTACGAAGATAGTCAAAGTTGTGTGATCAAAGAAGATAAACATGAATAAAGCTGTTGCCCCGAGCATAGAGGAAAAAAGCTGGAACAAAACTCCTGCAGAGAATGTTGATCACAATTAACTTACACATGAAGAGATCCGTGTAACTTGGTTTAGTTTCATTTTTGTTAACAGTCAGTTTGAGAGAGGAAGGGGAAAACCAGGTGTATATTTAGCAGGAGTTTGAAACCAAAATCAAAGGCAAACAGTTTTAAGCAACCAGACTTTCTTTTCACTTATTGAAGTTTCTTGGGTTGTCAAAGCCAAGTTGTAACTGCACAATTAAGGAAATACTGCTGGCTGTTGTTCAGTTGGCACAATGATATATATAAAAATTGAAAACATTAACAGTTGGTAATCATATAAGAGGGGAACCTCCCAGCCCACAAGGACAGACACTTCAAATTTCAAAACTTGAATAACTCATGAGTTTCATGTTCAGCTCTCATCCTGTTTATGTTAAAGTCCACAAAAGATCCAAAGTATTATTGCAGCACAGTTTAGGTTATATATATATATATATATATATATATATATATATATATATA